GGAACAGATAGAATAATGGCATTTTATAATTATAATTTATAATTATATTTATATACTCAATGTTGTATAGGCCTATGTATATATTTGTAGATTATATTAAAAGCCATAAAATCTGGTACTTTTTCATCTCATCGAATTCTTGGCAAAACACGTACATTTTACAAAACATATAATAATAGGACAGTATGCGTATAAAATGTGTATCTAAAAATAAATTTTATGGTGAATTTGACATTACTATCACTAATATTTTAAAAACCTGCTTGCATTTTTTTTTCAGTTGTATTGCTGATCGGTGACAATAAACAAAGACAGAGGAGTGTAAGCCTTTCAATTTATCAATCAAACCATTATATTTTATTGTCGTAGGTAGTCTTAATGCTCCATAAAAAAAATGAATTGAAATTACTTTGCTTCACAATAGGCTTACGATAATTTTTTGTAACGTTTGGCAGAGAGTGATGAGAGAGGCTGACAAAAAACCCTGTTTAAAATGTAGTTCCTACATATTTAAGCACTGCCTATGGTGAGTAGCTATAGTTGAAAATATTTTATTACTGGCTGGGTGAAGTCGATCTTTGACAATAAAATCGAATATGTTTTTAGGTTAACGCCTATATAATAAATTTTTGGAGATTGCTAGATCCTGATATTGGGTATGATTGATTATGCCCGGTAAAGTAGGGGATTAGGACTTCTTTTACGATGAGAGCGATCGTGTAGGCTACATTATCCAAGTTGTTATACTACCTTGATCTGAGTGTAAGCCAGTGCCCTATTGTACATTTAACCACAATGAATTACACTTCAACACGTTTGACAGACCATTTTCGTGGACCCTAACCAAGTTTCTATTTAGGGGAGTGTGGGGCTTTGTTTACGGGGTGATAGCGATCATGTAGGGGCACCCGGGGGTGGGGAGCAAAATACCCTCAGTCGGGAACATCTGGACCTTTCGGGGAATTTCCAGCAAGATTGTCGGGAAAAAATCAAATCTTGAGCGCCGAAGCTACAATTCATACATGCCTTACTATGCTGTCAAATTTTAGGAATTAAAAACTGTTTAGTGAGAGCAGTGATACGGTATGTGCGAGGTGTTGTTTACTATTGAAATGGGGCACTGTCGTTGCACGAAGGTGAGGTGGGGCTCGATGTAAAATAAGGTGATTTTAGGTGATGTTTAACTGTTTGCAATTGATTTTTTTGGGGGTGCACTGTGGGGGCGCGAGTAATATTCGGAGGGGCGTGCTCTCCTCCCCACGCACCCCCTACATACGCCACTGACTACGTTGATGAATCATTTCCATGAGGGAAGTAGAGTTATTTTTACGTGAAGAATCTTTAATGAATGCTTCGGGTAATGAACCTAAAGCTCTCAAACCTAAAGTCAATAATCCAGATCTGGGGTTAAGGTGAAGTGGGAGAGGATGTGGACGTGAAAGTGAAGTGGGATATGAGGTCGATGATGCAAAGTAAGGTTAGGCCTATAGTCTACTTGGGCGTGATTCTTTTCCTTCGAACCTTTTCAATGGGAACGTTTTCATGGGAAGCTGAATTGGGGGTGGGGGATGCTAACCTGGTGCACCCCTATATACGCCGCTGCATTTATCCAGTACTTTCTAATGGTAAAATACAGAATAATTAAAATTGTGATTCTCCAACCTTAACTATATAAACAAATGTAACCTCGTTTCCGCCTACTAGTGAGGTCCTTGATATGTATAGAGGACACCCTACTCCTACCCACCTCTTCATTTTCTGCTGTGTCCCGGTGATGTGTCTTTTATAAATGCCTATCATGTGACAAAGGGAGTAACCCTTGCCTGATACCATCGTCTGGCCTTAGCTAGAAACGAAAGCGTAGGGTGAAAAGAGTATTATTTTTCCAACGGTGGCATTATTTCTATCTTTTTCTTGAAAACATGTTTTAGAAATGTTACTTCTCTAATTGACTCATTATTAGGATGCCTCACCTTTTGCACTCCGCACCTCTCCCCACCTCACCAACCCCATTGCTAACAGTATTAAATGCTTACCTTCCAATGATGACGATCGTTTCCGATCCCCAGTATATCATAAATCTGGTTTAAATAAAGTTGAAGTGATTAGCTATCGAGATGTCCAGGTATGAACTAACAATTATGGCTAGTTCATTTTTTTTTATAAATAGGGTGAAACTACTTTTGCTTTATAAATAATAATAATAAATAATAACTTACAATCTACGAAAAACTTGATAACCTTTAGGATATAATGTGTATGTAATTGATCTCGCGTAATGAATTGCCAGTTATTGTTTAAAATATTATATGATATCATTCAATCAGGAGATTGAAACCCCTTATTATAATGTGACAGTCCATGCACTCAGCATAATGAAAAAATCATCAAAAATAAATATACAAACCCGAGGCGGATAAAATTGACAGGAGGCGCAGCCTATAATCTATGATTGTTTTACCAATTATCATTGAGTACTATGTTTGCGTGTTCATTGGTAATTTCCCTATCAAGCGTTCGTTGAAAATTCAATGTAATATATTTGGTCTTCACGTAGGCAGTGGTGGCGCGTACGGGGGGTGAGGGGGAATTTGCCTTCCCGTCGGACAGGCTTGGACCCCTTGCCATCCGACGATGCGACTAGGTCGTCGGTTCAAAATTTAAAAAATAATATTATACTTATCCAAATAACGTTATTTTGATTGCTAATCCCTAATATTGTGGTCAAAAAGCACAATTTGGACTAGCCATAACAACTCTCCCCGGACCCCTAGAGTACGCCTATTGTTGTCTTCTCTGGATCTAACACTCCAGTAGTGGCGCCAGGGGATTTAGGAATTCTCCCCCTCCCCGCTCCGCCGGACAGGCCTGGATACCCCTTTTATTCGACAAAAGACTAGGTCGTCGGAACAAAATAAAAATACTAATAATAATTTTCCTATCCAAATAACCTTATTTTGATTGCCAAGCCCTACTTTTGTGGTCTGAAAGCACATTTTGGATTATAATAAGCCATAAAAACTCTCCCTATGAACCCTACCAAGGATTTTTATTCCGAGGCTCTAGTCGGCCCCAGTGGCGTAGCTAACGGGGATAGACAGAGTGGGGTCAGGGCCCCCAGATTTTGGCCTCCCCCGCTGGCCCCCCTGAGGTGGATAATAAGGTTCATTGACATTTCTACATGTCGATGATTGCTCGAATACAAAATACAATATTTTCACCATGGTTTAAAATGTTCTGTATATTTGAGAGCAAACAGGCTGAGGTCACGTAAGATAGCCATTTATATAGCCATACTGTAAAACTTTTCCAGGGGGTTCGCCCCTGGACACCGACGGGGGCCCTTCGCGGCCCCTGGCCCCAGCATTTTTTTCTCCCTTCGATCGGAACACTTGTCCCCCACCCACATAATATCACGGACCCACACTTCTCCCCTCCCCCTACCAAAATATTCTGGCCACGCCACTGGTTTACCCCTTGTTTCGGACCCCTCCGTCGGACATGTTGGACCTCATGTC